TCCTCCTTCTACTCAGGAAAGATTGAGAAAACAGTTTGTCGAGTTACACCAGGACGATACTTCTTCAGCATAGTTTGAGGTGAGGTTTGCCAATTTGTTGAGATTCGCTCTAGAGTTGGTCGCAACAGAAGAGTGTCGTTGTTTTGAGTTTGAGGGAAGGCTATGTGATGACATTAGGGGAAAGGTTGTCGAGGCTGTGTATAGAGATTATTACACACTTGTAGAGGCAACAGCTCACGTGGAAGCCGTTATTCTTGAGGTTGGTCAAGATGGGGAGGAAGACGCCATACCGGCAATTTTGACTAGTCGAGGAGGTAGTAGACCTAGTAAGAAGTGGAGATAAGCAAAATCTAAGGCACAGGCACAGTTGTCGCCTTAATCTACTTTTGTTTCTTCATACTCGTCCTTTGGGAGGTCCAATTAGACTCAGGATTCTTCGAATCAATCGCGGAATAGGTGACCACCTACTTGTTTTAGGTGTGGTCAGTCTGGCCATATTCGGCCTCGTTGCCCTCTGCATAGGTAAAGCCAGTTTCAGTAGTCCAAGCGGGGACAATGGTGATGTTATAGTGTGGCAGAGTGTTATTGTTTTGTGACGTAATGTGATGTTATTTTATTTAGGGCTTTATGCCTACAAATGTTGCATATGTATATGTGTTGTTGTGAACCCGAATGGTATGCGTATGTACTTGCTTGTATTGTGTTAAAAAGTATTATAAGGATTGGAAATCCTAGTTTTAATATGTTGTATTATTTTCTTGAGTTAAGCATGTGTTGGCTTGTGATGTCTTGGTTTGACTTAGAGTTGCTTGTTGAAAAGTAAAGATTTGTTTATGGTTTTGACTAGTCTTGATTGTAGTGAGGATGGAGTGTATGGTTTTAAGTGTGTGTGTTTTGGGGTGGCGTTGCTAGTAATTGTGTGGGGTTTATGAAAGGGATGAGAAATTCTTGGTTGGCTATTGAGAATATTCCTTGGAGAAAAGTACGGTATTAATTCTAGAGGATAAGTATAGTGTTGGTAATGAGTGTGTTATGTATACGGGGTTGTGTGAATTGCCATTGACCTTGTTGGTCATTTGCATGTGGTGGGATGAGTGTGTTTGTCGTATAAGCATTTGAGTGGTGGTTTGTTTAGGGAGCAAGAGTGGTGTAACCCAATCTTAAGGAATCTGGTGTGAGTCAAGAAATATGTGGGTTTGTGTATGGAACTCCATTTTGGAGTAAACAGTGAAGGGTAACATGTCGGTGTTTAGTGTTGACTGTTGAGGGTTATTGAGTTGGTTAGTCAGTTGGTTGTTTTCGGAAGTGGGTTGACATATAGTCACCCCGAGAGTAAATTGGAATTGAACAAAAAGGTTGTAAGGTTGAGCAGCGCTTTAGTTTGGACTTGTGAGTGTTAAGTCTCGTGTAGGCAAATGTGAAGTTGGTGTGAGCTGGGGGTAACAGGGTTGGGGTTACATGTTGAGGCATTTGTGTTGTGAGAGCTTTTATGCCGTTGTGTGATTGATAGATGGTGATGGGATGAGGCTCTCAAGAATATGTAAACTTTATTTGTGCTTCCCTGTATTATTAGCATGGTTGTTATTTCTATTAATTTGTTGTCATGGAAATGTTGTTTTTGGTGTTGTGGCATCACTATAAGAGTGATGGGTGTTGTTGGGTGACGGTTAAGGTTCACCAGTTGTTTTATGTTGAGGAACAAATTCAAAAAATGAATTTTTCTCGTGTTGTGGCCTTAGATGGCAATGTTGAATTGTAATGTTGTGGATTGAATCTAAGTGGTAGTAAAGGATTTCGATGCGTAGTTTATTTGATTTAATAAAAGCTGAATCTAACAAATCATGAGAATGTACATGGTTATGTGTTATGAGTAACACTTTATTTTGTTTTCGAAGGATGATTGCAAAATTTTAAGTTTTACGTGAAAATCAAAAACGTATTTTGGTCATGGGCAGTGTAGTTTTCAAAGAAAAATGAGAAAATGAGGACTAATTTTTTTTTGTTTTTTTTTTTTTAAACATGCATGTGTTGTGAATTATGTCACATTTTATGGTTGGTTTGTGTAGCGACTTAGCTTAAACTGCTAGTCGTGTGTTTAATTGTTTTGTTTTGAGGAGGGTTTGGTGTTGTTGGGGCTTATTGTGCTGGAGCATTGTCTTTTGGGCCATGTTTTCGTGGTGAGTCCATTTGTTTTGTGAGAGTTGACTGAGAGTTTTGTTATGAGGGTGGTTTTCCTTTCCTAAGTGCTCGGGTGTTGAGTGCTCAGTGGTGATTGATGTCTTTGGGGTGCGCGTAGAGTCTATTGTTTGTTTTCTCGTCTAGTAAACCCCAACGAGTTGTGTGGGTCGAAGAATCATTCGTGACCTCTTTCTTGTATTTGTAATAACCCAACTCTCTCATATGCTTTAATTCCGTAATTATATGTGTGCTTATGTGCCTGATGTGAAATGACCTGTTTAAATACGTGAATTACATGCTTATGAGCTTGTATCTGTCAGTTATAAGAAAACCTATTGAAATTATAACCTTTGGACTGAAAATTGAAAGCCTTAGAGACACGATAAACCGAAATTGACTTTACAATTATGATTAACATGATTTTTAGGACATAATATAAAGTTTTGTAAAAATTTGAATCGTAATAAATTAATTGGATTTATTTAGGCTAAACTCTTAATTATGCTTGAACTTAGACTTAAGAAGCTAAGCCTTGTTAGATATAAGATATATACTTGAGCCTTATGTAGAAGACTTAGACTTAAACTCAAAAATATCTCCTGAAGGAGACTTAGAGAAGAAAAGAAGAGAAAAGAGAGAAGAAGAAGAGACTTCAATCTAGAAGCTTGGAACTTGAGAATTGAAGGGGGAAATCAAGAATATAGCTTAAGGTAAATCAACTAGAATACTCTAAATCTTTCTTTAATTGGTTAAAATCAAGACTTAAAATGAAGCTTTGACACTCATAAAAGTTGAGGTTTATGGGTTATAATTTTGATTGAACACATCTCATGAAAATGAACATGTAATCCTTGGGTTTGTTTGATTAAAGGGTTGATTCTTTATTTTAGGTTCATCTCGAGTTAGATTGTGAGAAATGGCTATCTAAACTTGCGTCCTTGCATGCTTTGCACTCATGTAAGCATATACAAACATATACAACATGAAAAGATGAAGAAAATAAAGGAATTATGAAAGTTAGGGATTTAAGTGTCAAATTAAAGGAAGTTTGATCTAATTGAGTTTGAGTTTCATGCTTATTATGTTCATATATTACGTTTTTGAAGTGAAATTGCTTGTATTGGGCCTTAGAAATGCATTGAAGAAGCTTGAACTTGAAAGATTTTCGAACTGCACAAACAGAGCTAGAACTGCACGTACGGGGCTCATAGCTACACGTGCGGAAAACAGGACAAGCAAAGCCAAACATTTTGAAATAAAAGCACGTACGGCACCTTTCTGCACGTGCAGGGAACAAGGAGAAAAACTGTATATTTTTGTTCATCTTTCCGACCCTCTGAATCTGCTAATGTGTTGTGTGTATTTAATCCCTCTGAAATGCTTAAAGATAAATAGAATTGAATGAAACGGAAAAATGATTAAAGAGAAGAAGCGAAGAAAATAATGAATTACTTATCAAGTGTGTTTATGTGTAATGTGTAGGTCACTTGCCGGAAGGGACCATTGCACGACCAAATCACTGTGAATAATTGTAGTATAACGATATGTTATGACTTATGTATTTTTGGATCGTGAATGGCATACTTTATATAAATTGTGTTTTGGTTGGAATGATTGAGCATTTGACAGCAATGTCATATCAAATGGACCAGAGGTCGTTTTGTTTCTGTTATGTATGATGGGCCCGAGGCTGTTATGCCTGATATGGATTACTTGGCCCGAAGGCGAGGGAGATGGAGACATGTCAATGTTCCATCTACCCTATGATGTTCAAAATAACTGTTATTATGTTAGGCCCAAGGCCGTTCCATATTATGTTGGGCCTAAGGCCGTTTCATCTTACGTGGGCCCAAGGCTGTTCTAGAATATGATTATAAATAAGACACGTATATTTTATATATATATATATATATATATTCTTCAAGACATATGCTCATTTATATGAACCTCCTTACATTATTATTACTCACTGAGTCTTGCTCACTCCATATTTATATATATTTATATAGGTGATTAGCTAGGACGCCAGCCCTAGGTCGGCTTCAAGAGTCTTTTTGGTGGACTTGTTTTGTTAAACCTCCAAAATGGAGCCTTTTGTCTTTTTGAGAATTTCCTCTGATGTTAAATTTTGTCAAGTCTTTGGTGACTTTTGTTTTGGCCACTTTGTTAATATGTGATTTTTGGGTTGCTAACTCCTTGTATATATACGAACTTTCTATCTATGACATGATGTTTAAAATTCTGGCATCTAAGCACTGCTCAATGGACGTTCGGTTATTTTATTTGCTTCCGCTTAGGCCCCGTTATGGTAAATTCTCTGTAATCTGTCTGAGGCCAGAGGTAATCAAAAGGTTACTGGCTGGTCATGATCCAAACTTTTAGGGGCAGGTTTGTGTCATAATAGTTAGTATCAGGGCACAAGTTACTACCTTACAGAGTGGTCCATTTGAGCTTTAAGGAGTCTAGACAAGACTGAGGTGACATTCATGTTGCTTCTTTATGACATGCATCCAATATGCAAAATGGTATTATGATTTGTATATGTTATGAACAATGCTATGGAATACGAAATGAACATTGTCAATGTGTACTTGTGTATCTTTTATGTGTGTATTATAATCTATTGTTATATAGATTATATTGAGAACGAGGATGCACGGTTTGATAGGTTGAAAAGAATGATAATGGACATGGTAGAAGCTATGAGACATCAGCAACAACAACAGCAACCACCCCTGCCACCAATGCCTATATCGCCACCAGTGGTGCAGGACCACCAAGCCAAAGACTAAACAATTGCACTTACGAAAGAGTTTAAGAAGATGAAACCACCGTTGTTTAAAAGGGGAATTGATCCAATGAAAGTAGAGGCAGGGGTATTGGGTATAGAGAAATTGTTTGAGGTCTTTCCATGTACTGAGGCGCAGAAAGTCCAACTTGTCGCTTTTACTCTCGAAGATAAAGCACGAAGATGGTGGATGCTCACTTGAAATGAACATCAGGCATTGAACTAGGCTCGATTTTTGGAGTTTTTCTATGATAAGTATTTTCCACAATGTATACGAGATAGGAAAATGGCAGAGTTTGAGACATTGAGGCAAGGGAACAAGACTATAGCAGAGTATGAAGAACAATTCACAGAACTAGCCCATTTTGCACCACACATGATGGATACGAATTACATGAAAGCAAGAAAGTTCGAGGGAGGACTTCGGAACGCCATTCTAGATCGGATTAATGTGTTAAAATTGCATACATATATTGATATGTTGGAAAGGGCGATAATGGCTGAGGATAATATAACTGCTCAAAATTGAATTTTCGAGTGGAAAGGGAAGAGACATAGTATGCAAGTACAAAGGGGATCAGTGGCATTACAGAATAAGAAACCAAATTTGGGGACCTCTAGTACTTCCACCTCTACTCGTGACTCGGTGCCAATTTGTCCGAAATGTGGGAAAAGACACTGCGGGACTTATTATCGGGTAACTGGGGCTTGCTTTAAGTGTGGAAAGATGGGTCACATAGTGAGAGATTGTCCTCAGAGAGAACGACATAATGGAAATAGAACCACCACAAGTTCAGCCGGTTCAACTCTAGCTCCAACAACAAAGACTGTTACAAAACCTACCAGTACCAAAGATAATGTTAGACAGGGAAGAGTGTTTGCCCTTATTCCTGGTGATGTGCAGAATATAGAGGCTATGGTCTCAGGTACATACTTTATTAATAGTCATCTTGCTCATGTGTTATTTGATTCGGGTTCCACCCATTCTTTTGTGTCAAAAACATTTGCTTGTAATTTGAATAAACCTACGAAATCATTGCATTATGTGTTGTGTGTGTCTTCACTATCGGGGGGCTCCATGTTATGTATGTATGTTTATCCTACATGTGAGATCTTGATTAGGGATGTTCAATTATATGTTAACTTGATGCCTCTTGATATGGATTATTTTGATAGAATATTGGGGATAGATTGGCTAAGTAAATACCATGCGACTATTGATTGTATCTCCAAGTAAGTTGTTTTTTGACTTTCGGGACAATCTGAATTTATTTTTGCGGGACATGGGGTATTTTCTCCACCTTACTTGATCTCAGCTACAAAACGTGTAAATTATTACAAAAAGGTTATCGGGGGTATCTATATAGTATTTTGAATGGGCAACCAATGGATGTATGTGTTGATAATATTCCAATTATCCGTGAATTTTCGAATGTTTTTCCAAAGGAGTTGCTAGGAAAGCTAGTGGACTGTGAAATTGAATTTGCAATTGATATAGTGCCGGAAACTCAACCCATTTCAAAAACTCCTTATAGAATGTCACCAGTTGAAATGAAAGAATTGAAGGTACAGTTACGAGACCTGGTTGATAAAGGGTTCATTTGCCCGAGTACCTCTCCTTGGGGCGCACCAGTTCTTTTTGTAAAAAAGAAGGATGGGACACTCCGATTATGTATTGATTATCGGGAGCTCAATAAAATAACTGTAAAGAATAAGTATCCCTTGCCTAGAATCGACGATTTATTTGATCAATTGCAAGGTGCACAAGTCTTTTCAAAGATAGATTTGAGATCTGGGTATCACTAATTAAAGGAAAGAGCCGAAGACATTGAAAAGGCTGCTTTTCGAACTAGATACGGCCATTATGAATTTTTGGTTATGTCATTCAGGGTTACTCATGCACCGGCAGCCTTCATGGATTTAATGAATTGTGTTTTTAAACCGTACTTGGATGACTTTGTAGTTGTGTTCATTGATGATATACTTATCTATTCGAAAAGCACTGAAGCTAATGAGAACCATTTGCGATTAATTCTTCAAACACTTAGAGATAAGAAATTATATGTGAAATTGAAGAAATGTGAATTTTGGTTACATGAAGTGGTGTCCTTAGGGCATGTAATTAATAAGGAGGGTGTTTCTGTCGACCCACACAAGATAGAAGCTATTGTGAATTGGCCAATTCCTACAAATGTGACAAAAGTGCGTAGCTTTTTTGGTTTAGTAGGATATTACCAGAAATTTGTTAAAGACTTTTCAAAGATTGTAGTGCCGCTTACCCAATTGACCCAAAAGGGTGTTCCGTTTGAGTGGACAGAACAAAGGGAATCTACCTTCCAGGAGTTGAAAACAAGGTTGACTACGGCACCAGTTCTTGCTCTACCATCTAGTATGGAGGGGTTTGTTATTTATAGTGATGCCTCTTACAAGGGATTATGATGTGTACTTATGTAGAATGGAAGAGTCATTGCCTATGCTTCTCGTCAACTCAAGCATGAAAAGAATTATTCCACACATGACTTGGAGCTAGCTGTAGTGGTATTTGCTTTGAAGATATGGCGACATTATTTGTATGGTACAACATGTGAGGTCTACACCGACCATAAAAGCCTAAAGTATTTCTTTACTCAAAAGGAGTTAAATATGTGACAAAGACGGTGGTTAGAACTCATCAAAGATTATGACCTGCAAATCCATTATCACCTCGGCAAAGCTAATACAGTGGCAGATGCTCTTAGCAGAAAGGTTATGGAGAATTTGGCAAGTTTGTTCACAGGGCGAAAAGAGTTGCTACTTGAGTTGGAAATAATAGATATGGAAATTGTGCTATGTGATCAAAGCGTAGTGTTAGCGGCAATGTCAGCTCAACCGGCAATACTTAAAGAATTCAAGCAAAGGCAAATAGAAGATGAATTTCTTAAGAAAATTTGTGATAAGATGGAAACAAGGACAAGGCTCGGGTTCACCTTTGAAAATTCAGTGTTGAAATTTAAAGACAGATTATGTGTCCCAAATGTTCTAGAAGTTAAACAAAGGATTATAGAAGAAGAGCATACATCTAAATTTTCATTGCATCCCGGTAACACTAAAATGTACCAAGATCTTAAGCAAAATTTTTGGTGGCCAAGTATGAAGAAGGAAATTACAAAGTTTGTGTCAAAATGTCTACAATGTCAATAAGTAAAAGCAAAACACTAAAGACTAGCGGGTTTACATCAACCTCTCCCAATCCCAGAGTGGAAGTAAGAACACATAACTATGGATTTTATTGTTGGCTTACCTCGAACACCCCAGGACATGAATTCCATATGAGTTATTGTTGACAGACTAACTAAATCTGCTCACTTCCTACCTATGGAAACTCAATAAAATGCGAATAGACTTGCTATTGTGTATATGAATGAAATTGTGCGATTACATGGTGTTCCAATTTCAATTGTGTTCGATAGAGATCTGAAATTTGTATTGAGATTTTGGCAGAGTCTGTAGGATGCTATGGGAACAGAGTTGAGGTTCAATACAACATTCTATTCACAAACTGATGGCCAATCAGAGAGAACCATACAAACATTGGAGGATATGCTTCGGATGTGTGTCTTAGACTTCCAGGGGAGTTGGGAAACTTATCTACCGTTGGCAGAGTTTGCATACAACAATAGTTTCCACTCAAGCATAGGAATGGCACCGTATGAAGCTTTGTACAGGAGGAAATGTCGCTCTCCAGTGTGTTGGACCAAAGTCAGCGATATATCATCGTTTGGGCCTGAAATTGTACAATTGACAATGAAGAAGATTAAAATCATTCAGCAAAGATTGAAAACCGCCCAAAGCAGGCAAAAGAGTTATACAGATCACCGACGAAGGGATTTAGAATTTGAGGTTGGTAATTATGTTTTTGTTAAATTCACCTCGATGAAAGGACAAACAAGATTCGGCAAGAAAGGGAAATTAGCACCCCGATATGTAGGTTCGTTTCAAATTCTGGAAAGAATGGGTCCAGTGGCTTATCGTATTGCTCTTCCATTGAGTATGGAACAAATACATAACGTGTTTTATGTATCAATGTTATGGGGTTACCTCCAAGATCCATCCCATATTATAGACTACTGTCAGATTGCTTTGGATGACAACTTGATCTACGAAGAGAAACTTATTCAAATTTTGGATCGACAAGTGAAATAGCTATGGAACAAGACAATTCCAATGGTGAAAGTTGAATGGCAAGAGCATTAAGGGAAAGAAGCCACTTGGGAGAGAGAATAGGAGATGAAATAGTTGTATTCAGAGTTATTTTCAACTTGAGGTAACCTAAGTTTGAGGGACCAAACTTCTTAAAGGGGGGAAGAGTGTAATAACTCGACTCTCTCATATGATTTAATTCCGTCATTATATGTGTGCTTATGTGCTTGATGTGAAATGACATGTTTAAATGTGTGAATTACATGCTTATGAACTTGTATTTGTCATTTATAAGAAAATTTGTTGAAATTACAACCTTTGGAATAAAAATTGAGAGCCTTAGAGGCGCAATAAACCGAAATCGACTTTACAATTATGATTAACATCATTTTTAGGATATAATATAAAGTTTTGTAAAAATTTGATTCGTAATGAATTGATTGGATTTATTTAGGCTAAACTCTTAATTATGCTTGAACTTAGACTTAATAAGCTAAGCCTTGTTAGATATAAGATATATACTTGAGCCTTATGTAGAAGACTTAGACTTAAACTCAAAAATATCTCCTGGAGGAGACTAAGAGAAGAAAAGAAGAGAAAAGAGAGAGAAGATGAGACTTCAATCTAGAAGCTTGGAACTTGGGAATTGAAGGGGGAAATCGAGAATATAGCTCAAGGTAAGTGTAAATCAACTAGAATACTCTAAATCTTTCTTCAATTGGTTAAAATCAAGACTTAAAATGTAGCTTTGACATACATAAAAGTTAGGGTTTATGGGTTATGATCTTGATTGAACACATCTCATGAAAATGAACATGTAAACCTTGGGTTTGTTTGATTAAAGGGTTGATTCTTGAGTTAGATTGTGAGAAATGGCTATTTAAACTTGAATCTTTGCATGCTCTGCACTCATGTCAGCATATACAAACATATATAACATGAAAAGATGAAGAAAATGAAGGAATTATGAAAGTTAAGAATTTATGTATCAAATTAAAGGAGGTTTGATCTAATTGAGTTTGAGTTTCATGCTTATTATGTTCATATATTATGTTTTTGAAGTGAAATTGCTTGTATTGGGCCTTAGAAATGCATTGAAGAAGATTGAACATGATGGATTTTCTGACAGCACAAATAGAGCTAGAACCGCACATGCGGGGTTCACAGCCACACATGCGGAAAACAAGGCAAGCAAAGCTAAACATTTTGAAATGAAAGCACGTGCAGACCACATGTGCGGCACTTTTTCGCACGTGCAATGGGGGTCTTCCGCAAGTGCAGGGCACAGGGAAAAAAACTGTATATTTTTGTTCATCTTTTAGACCATCTGAATCTATTAATATGTGTATT